ACTTTTCATGGCATCTCTGTGTGTTCTATTTCTGTATTCACAGATTTCTTCCTTTTTTTCCAGAGTTGGTCATCCAAAACATTCATACAACAAGCAATAACACTTGCGTGAGGCACACTTGTCCCACATATGATTTCATTCAATCTGTCCAACTATCCCCTGAGAAATCTTGGCCTTAGAGATGTCAGTTGGGGGGCCGGGCTGGTGGCGCACTGGATAGTGCGCCGCTTGGGAAGCGCGGCGGCGCTCCCGCCCAAGGGGTTGGATCCCACATACGGACCGGTTCCCGCTCACTGGCTGAGCAAGGCGTGGGAGCAACGCTGAGGGTTGCAATCCCGTTGCCGGTCCCGGTCCGGTACGGGGGCGACACTGAGGGTTGCAATCCGTTGCCGGACACGGAAAAAGACAAAAAAATAAAAATAAAAAGATGTCAATTGGTTTACCTGAGGTCCACTAGCCAGTTAATGGCCAAGACAGCACCACAAATCCAAGTCACATTTGCCCCGTCCTTGCAGTATGCCACATTGTTTCCTACAACCAAGTGAAAGAAACTAACTTAATGAATACCTGTATTCAGTGAGTAGAAACTTGTTTCTTTTTTGTGACTTCCTATAAGAACTATGGATGGGATTTTTTTTCTAAGCAGGGACTCATGTTGTTGTGAACTTTACTCTACCTTCGTAATCACCTCGCAGTGTTCTGCAAATTTTCCTGTGCCCCCATAAGGATAAAACAACTAGATTTCTGGAATTTCTGGGGGAGTATCAATATGCCTTTTCATAGCCCCTCAAAGACTACACTTCTACCAGGCCCATTCTCCAGGTGGCTGCATAGGCAACTTTGGCTTGATTTTCATTGACTTTTGATGATGTGTCCTGGCATACATTACAATAAACTATACAAAACTGCTGACATTCAACCATTTTTTTACTTTCACAAACACTCATTCCATTTGCTTTGACCTAACAGAACACTGAGAGAGGTGGCACGGGTACTGTTACCTTCTAAGAGTGCCATGCCAATGCCCATCCATGTCCAAGAGGGCCCGCTATGTGACCATCTACCCAGGGACCTATGTCAGGTTTGTTATGGAGGTCAGTTTATAACCAGACCTGCACATAACTACAGAGGGTTGTCTGTAGCACAGGTAATGTACAGAGGACTAGCTGCTTTTCTAAGGAAGAGCTTTTAGGACTTACGACATGCCTTCAGCTGACATTTGCTAACATTGTTAATCACAGACTTGGAAACAGAACATCTGTTCCTTTGGCGAAGCAAGTTTCTTTACTTCCTTCACTTTATTTGCTTATACTATTGCCAACAGGTGTATCTAAACCTCACTCAATGGATGACCCCCAAAGGACCATTTATTTAATCTGAAATTTTTAAAAATTGTATTTGTTTATTCGTACGTGAAAAAGAAGACTGTTTATTCCTACTGTTCACTTTTCTTGTGAGTCTTCTGAATCATTTCTGAAGGCAGCATATTTTATGGCACTGTCTTAGTCAGTTTGGGCTACCGTAACAAAATACCTGAAACTGGATAATTTATAAACAACAGAAATTTATTGCTCATAGTTCTGGAGGTTGGAAAGTCCAAGATTGAGGTGCCAGCAGATTCAGTGTCTGGTGAGGGCTCTCTGCTTCATAGATGGCACCTAGTTGCTGTGTCCTCACATGGTGGAAGGAGCAAACAGGCTCCCTCAAGCCTCTTTTATAAGGGCACAATCCCATTATAAGGTCAAGCCCTCATAAGCGAACCACCTCCCAAGGCCCCCACCTCTTAATACCATCACCTTGAGGTTTAGGATTTCAACATATAAATTTTGGGGAGGACACAAACATTCACACCATAACAGGCACAACACAGAGTAATTCTAATCTGAAACACTTGGGTTTGATTCTTGGTACAGCCATTTATAATGATAAGACCCTGGGTTATTTCTTTGCCCCAATGATCCTGCCTGCCAGTGGTGATACCTAACTTTTGGTATTTTGGTAGAGATTAAATGGTGCACATTTGTGAAGTGCCTGGCACAATGCTTGGCTCATCATAGTAGGTACTCATAAGGGGTGTTTGTTAATGACATTGCCATTAGCATTCCTGTCCTGATGCATAATGAGAAGGTAATGGAGATAAGGACCATCAATCACTGTTCCCCTTACTTGTGAAAACGCCCTTTCATGCATCTACCAGAGACCATCATATATATTCCTCCTAGAGGTCTTGTACTCTACAGCTGATAAGATGTATAAGTACATAGATGCATGAGGGGTCTTCAAAAAGTTCATGGAAGGATTCATATTTTCAACAAACTTTTTGAAGTACCCTCATATGTGATGCCTTCATATAAAACCATAAAAAATACAAATGCATCGGTGAAGCTGAGGTTCTGTTTTAGAAAGCTTGCTCTTCTCTTTAACTCTGACCTGGATATAGCTCGAACATGGGAGTTTTAGGATGGGAAATGGCATTATGCTTATTGTTGTCAGAAGTACAGAATAGATACAAAACTATGGTGAAAAGGTCACTTTAACAGTTTTGTTTTCCAAGAGATTCTTTGCCCATCCTTAATGCGGCACTGGCAGATTGGTGATTGGTGTCAATGTCTGAAGGAAGCTGCACATCGCATTTCATTTTTATTGCACAAATGTTTGTTGACTGCCTGCTGCATGGTAGATGCGGTCAAAATGGCTGGGGTTACGAAGACGGATAAGACACCATTCTTGTCCTTGGGAGTTTTATGGTTTAGTAGGACAGACAGACTCAAGAATATATGATTACAGCACCGTGTGGAAGTGAAACAGCAGAGGTGTATCATGGTTTACTGAAGCGCTGCTTACCATCTCCCAAATGTGGACAGCTCTTTCCAACTCTGAGTTCAGCTCTTTCCCTCACTGTGGGAAAGATGAGAGTATTTACAGCATGGAAATTGGCAAAAGCTACTGCAAATCTTGTGGGTTTTTTGTTTTGTGTGGTTCGGTTTTTGAGAGCTGGTTGTTAAACATATACCTGCACACCACTGACTATAGATAAACTGCTTTATAAGCATACAGGAGGAAAGGGATTAATTTTTCTTGGGACATTCAGGGAACCAATGAAAGAGTGGTGACATTTGAGATTGTGGGATGGTGGGAGAGTGGGTCAAAGGAAAAATGGAAGAAATTTTAAAAGGGTACAGTCCTTGAGAGAGGAAATCCCAGCTCATATTTACCTTCGAGGCGATGACAGCAGAAAGCAAACGTAGTTGTAAGAAGCTTCTATTGAAGGTGATAGATAGATGTGCTGTGAGATTTAAGTCCAGTGGTATTTAATAGCAGTAGCCTTGGGTAGCTTCCTGTGTCTTGGGGTTGGGGCATACCTAGGGCAGGGGTTTCTCAAAGTGAATCCGAGTCCTTTGGCAGTGGGGTAAAATGCTGATTCCCAAGCTCCTGGGCAAACCTACTGAATCAGATTCCCTTGGAGCAGGGGCCCGGGTATTTGCATTTTTATCAATCTCCCCAGAAGTTTCCTTGCATGCTCAAGTTTGAGAACCAATCTTCCAAAGCATGATTTCAACACCCAGGGGACATTTGGTAAAGTCTGGAGACATTATTGATCATCATGACTGTGGGGGTGCTCCTGACATGTAGTGGGCAGAATCCAGGGAGGCTGCGCCATACCCTGCAGTGCACAGGGCAGCCCCCCCCGGCCCACTGCCCCCCAAATTATCTGACCCCAAATGTCAACAGTGCCAAGACAGAGAAATCCTGATGTAGGTCATAGTGAAGAGTTCTGAAATAAGCACGACAAGTGGACTGACGTCAACTTGTGTCACTAGGTGGGCCCTTAGTCTGCTCAGGTCAGGGGCTGGGATGGGTTTATAGACTTCCCAGGCCACATCTCGGGCTGCCAAATTTTCATAGAACTGGGCAGAGTTCACACATACTGAATCCGTGTAGATGTCACTGCTGAAGCCACCAATTCATTATTTGATGAGTTGTTTCTTTTAACCTCTGATACCAAAAGTTTTAAAATATTTATTAAATTAGTCTCAAAAAATTATCCTCACTTCTTTGGGAAAAAATATGCTACTAGTTCTATACAAAATAGTCTTTGCCCAAGTTGCACTTTCTTGAAGTCCAAAAGGTAGATTTGCATTGAAATCATATTGGCTAAGAGTTGAAAAGATTTATTTCTTATATGGAATTAAGAAAGCAAAGTTTGGAAATTCTTTTTGAGTCCGGATTTAAGTTTCTAAGAAGCCAGACATCCCGCTGAGATGACGTCCAGCTCGTCCCTGCTAAGTTCAGCAGACCAACCTTGTAGGTAAAGTGAACTATAGTGAAAGGTAAATGCACTTATTTTCCAATGTTTTTCTTAACAAAACGTCACTGTTGACTGTTCTAATGATAATATTGTTACCTGAAATTATGCCTTGGGCCCTCAGCAGATAAAGATTCTTGTTCATTTGCTGCATTTCAAAAGATTTGTGTGCCCATTCCCATTAAGACGTTTCTCAGACTGTACATACGGTTAATCTATATGGAGATGAGGTGGGTAACACCCACCTCCCTTGATTGATCGTTTCGGTTAAGGGGTCAAGCCTAACAATTTGGTTTCCTCCCCAGTGTCTGCAAAAGTAGGGCTTAAGTGCGAGATACCCTTTTAAACATACCCTTGGGTCCTGAGTGTTGAATTTTTCTGGCTGAAATAATTCTGCACCTTCCAAATGTTTGGATGCTTTTAGGGAGCTCTTTCAATGCAAGGATTTAAAGCCCGAAGCTAGCCAAGCTTTGAGCAGACTCACAGCTCTTAGATAAGAATAGAACTCATCCTTTACTTTTGGAGCCTGGGCCACTGTTTCCAGCTGCTTTCAGTCATTTGAATCCCGAGATCTCTCCTAATCCTCGCGGAGGCAGCCTTTCTGGCTCCCAGGACCCACCCCTTGCTCCTGATTGGCGAGTCCCCTCCACGGTCCCAGCCAGCCACCTACGACGTCTCTGGGAACTGATTTGAAATAAGAGCCAGGCGGTCCTCGCTTCCCAGCGCCCGACTTTTCATAGGCCGAGGGATTTTCATAGGCTGGGCTTGGGAAACTTGACATTGTCTTGGGCAGAGTGCGTGTAGCAACAGATCAAAGAAAAGAGGACGCAAAACGTGCTCTTGGCTGCCTGTGGATTTCGCCGAGTTGCTTTTGTCTTGCGAGCTTCTGTCGCGTACTGCTGTTGCCCCTGTGACGACCGCGGCGTGGGCTTCGATGCAGCTGGCTCCCTACCGGATGGGTCATGGAATTCTAAACATGAGGCAGGTAAGCTCCAGGCGGTTGCGCCGGCGGGCGGAGGGGGAGGGCGCCGCTCGGGACCCCTGCGACCCGTTCCTCCGGAGAGCTCCGTGAGTTAGCAGATGCCTGGCCAAGTCGATCCATTTGGTGGAGAGACGGGGCTGCATCTTCCTAAGGCAACCAAAGAAGCAGATGACCTGCGCTTGCCCCCCCGACCCTCCACCCCGGTCCTCGCCACTCGTCCCCACTTTTGCCTCTCTTGGTGCTTGGTGGTGTCAGGCGGTCATTGTCAGGGGCTTACAAGCGGTGAATGTATGCAGATCAGTTCCAGTTTGCGGCCGCTGCAATGTATTGTGCAGGATGTATCTCGAGCTTTTAGCCTCTACTCTGTGCTTTGGGTTAAAGACAACTGAATATCCTGAAAAAGAAATACACGGGGCCGCTTATCTCATGTTGGCTTCCCGTCCTGGGCACTTACTGTGTTTCTGGGTGAGAAGGTGGAACCAGCCCGAGATGAGCACAGATGCAGGTTTGATTTTCTGTGCTAGCAGTGTGAAAACTGTATTGCTTCTGGATGTGAGAAGACAGACCTGAAAGTAGGGAGCAGAGAAAGGGCTCGGGGACGACTTCAGCGAGTCTTGGAAAAGATTTCTAAACCAGCAGCTTCTTCCGTGGCTCCGGGGCATGATGATAAAATTCCTTATCAGCCCAGGCAGTGGTTTATTGCTTAGCCGTTAAGAAAGGAAATAAAAGAAAAAAGTGGATGTAAGGAAGCCAAAAAGAGGGTGTAATCTACAAGTGAATCAAAGTTATGGAAGAATCTTATGTCAATATTTAATAGCAAGATCAATACTCTTATAAGGGGAGACAAGACTGGAAAAACATACCAGTAGGCTGGGGATGGCAGAGAATACCAAAAGGTGTAGTATGGATTTTGCCAGCTCTGAATGAATCTGGTGGAAAAGTTAGCATCCGTATTGCCACCGGAAAAGCTTTCTGCTTTTTCTTCTGAGCGGATTGGGCACCCACCACCCTGCACACTTTGGGGGAAGTGAACTTTCTGTTTAGGGGCTGGGTGAGGATTTGAGAACTGTCTGCTGCTTTCCTGCAGCCTCGGTAGATGAAACAGAGCCCTCACCGAATGGTCAGACCCTCTGCCTTCTTGTCCCCTCTCTGCTCCCCAAGCAGCGTGCTTGGCAAGTTTCAGGGAGTGCCAAAAAGCACATGCAGAGGAGCAAGTGCCGTGTGCTTTCAATGAATTGCCCTTGTCTAGCTGGAGACTGTGGGGCAGAGGCTGTTTAAGTTCTGCAAACTCACAGTCCAACCTCATTGTTCTAATGTCTAGCAATATGGGATGGGGGAAAGGAGTGAGAAAGCTAAGTGGAAAGGATTGAAAAGTAAAAAGAAGAGCGCAAAACATTTTTGACAAAGATCCTTAGCTGGAACAAAGAAGTCATTTGATCCTGTGCGGAGCCACCTGTCCTCTCCTCGGTGGTGTATAAGTTCAATTTCCAGAATCCTCGTTCCCACACAGTTCCTCTGGAATGGTGGCACTCCCCGTGCCTGATGCCCAAGGCATGCTGTCCCAAGCTTGGGATGGTTTTTCCCATGCCTAGCTCGTTGTGGCATTCACATGAAGTTGGAAAACAGCCCAGTATTGAAGTTTTAAGGACACAAGTCCACATGGAGTAATTCCTTAGTTATTTAATAGATGAGCAACTTTTTAATCCACTTCTCTGTATGTCTAATAATTTTTTGGCCTGTTAGATACTTGAAAAGAGGGTGGGATGGGGGGAGGGCAGAGACGGAGGAGAGTGAGAGGATCATTGTTCATCCAAAGAAGCCAGACAGTCCTGTGTTTCAGGAACTTAGCACGTTGTTTCAGGACAGCCTGAACAAGAATGTTGTAGGGAATGAGACGGTGGTGTTATTGGTGTGTGTTAATTCCAACTTCATTGGAGTTTCTCTTGGGGAAACCTGATGGTTGCATCTAGGTAGGGTGAATTGCGCCCACCAGCCAATTTGTCATCTCAGCCCAGCAGCTCCGGCTGGATTTGCAGGGCTAACTATCTAACAGACCCGCGTGTCATCAGCAGTGAAATTCAATCTCTTCGCATTGAGTGATCCGTCCCTAGGGCTGCACAAATGCTGAACAATGGTGTGGCAACCTAGAAGAGACCCCTGCCACTGACTACAGAAATTCTGGGTAGCCAGAAATTGCCATCAGAATTAGAAAGCTGCCTGACTGGCTCTAAGATTTAGAGGGGTTTGGGCTTGTGCCAGGTTGGCAGAAAAGGAACAGTATAGGAGGACAGTATTCTTTGAGGATTCCTAAGGCCACGCTGAGTTAGGCCAAGGAAAAATGTAAACCTGACTCACCTTTTATCAGGAAGTAATTTTAAAGTATGTGCTAACCTTTCTCTGCACTCTGATCATAAATGGGAAACTTTCCTGAACCTATCTTGAGAAGGGATTTGCTATGTTCCCAGGCAAGAGGAAAGGCATGGCCACCTGTTCTAGAAGCTTGGCCAAAAACAACAGGTTTGCCTGTGGCATTCTCACAACTGCAAATATCCCCAAATAGCGAGCCACCCACCCATTGTCCCTACACATGAGAAGAACAAATAGTTCATTCTCGAGCTGGAAAAAAAAAAAAAAAAAATCAGATTCTCCAGACAAGATTGCCCACCAGACATATTTTGTGTTTTTAACGTTCTAGTAACTTTAGAAAAAACTCCAAAGGGAGAAGGTGTGTGCTCTTATTTCTGATCTACTAAAACGAGTCATGTAGCTGCTAAATTCTTGCAAGGCTGGGATGCTGCTTTTACAAGGAAGCTGTGACTCAGTTTGATTAGCTCGTTTTGCATTCTTTAGATTGGAATTAAAATGCCCAAGGACATCTGGCTGAATAATGAAAGCTTCGTATTAATCTTTCTTCTGAGGATTAGAGTGTCCTTTACAAACATGATCTATTTATTCTCTGGCCCATCCCCAGGAGAGAAAGAAGTGGCAATTTGATCCTCATAGAACAAATGGTGAGGCGAAGGCAGAGAAAGGTTAAGTATAAAGAGACAAAGCAAGTTAGGGGCAAGCCTGGGGATGAATACTCACCCACCCAGAAAGACTACCTGCACAAGCTTAGCATTTCAAATGGCATTCTAGAGATTAAAACCGAGCCTCTCCTACAACATCCTTTTTCTTATCCTTCTGGAATCAGCACGTAGTGTCCCAAGTATGTTGTGTGGTTTCCTTTATTTGAAAATTAAGCCTTTAAAAGTTTAAAAGGCATTTCTGTTCTCATTTGTCCCAACACTAAGATCAAGCAACTTTTATGACATCTAATAGGAAGGTACTGTAACTAACCGGAATTTTAAATATGCATCTGAAAAATGTTCCCTTTCAATAGATACTTTGTTTTTGCACTTGGTTTAGAGAGCTCAATGTCTTCAACATATGTTAAAATTTTAATTTCTTTCCTGCTATCTCTTTCAGGAAATATTATAATCGTAAGACTTGCTGTCAGTTTAAAGATTCTTGTTGGTCATTTTGAAATATTTTTTTTTGAGTTGGCTTTTCCTTGCTATTTGTTATGACTTGTGTTCATAGTCTGCTTGGCTGTGGACCGCATAGGCTGCGAGCAAATCCGTTAATTGGCAGTTGCATGTTATCCGCAGACATTCCAGCAAGTTTTAAGGCTAAGTGTATATGTGGATGTCTCCTGGCTTTGATCCCTTGTGTGGTAAATAGACATCCAAGGTAGCTATGGCAACCTGGGCTGTGTGTTGGTGAAAGGGGGGGATTTGGTCACTGGACAAAGAGTAATTTGTTTGATTAGAAAGAGGTGGGGCCAAATCAGGACAGTTTTAACCTGCACGATTCGAGGATCCCAGTTCATCCAAATCATTTGGATTTTTCTTGATAGGCAAAAAGAATTAACGTCCGACCACACCAGAGTATTTTGCAGATGTAATTTAAATTATTTTAATCAAATGGTTGCTGCTTTCCAAAAGCAACTTACAAAATAAAAGGGAAGTTCAACGTATTATATCAATATCGTCAGTTATCCCTGTTGTACTTATTTTCAGAACTTGGTGGGACTTTTACAAAAAGATCAGGATCTGATTGGACATGTGCATTTCAGTTATCCACCTGCAGGGGTCAGGCTTGAAGTTTCTATGGTGGAAGACCAGGCAGTGGACGCCACAGGGAGCCACAGGCAGAGCCACAGAGAATTGCTCTGCTTATTGGGAACAATTAGTTAGCGATTCTTTAATCTTGTGACCAAAGCTACTATGAAATCGAGTTCATTCAAGGAAGAGAATATCAAATATGCTGTTATTAAAGAAAGGGCGATAAAGCCAGGTCAAACAAGAATCTAATCTCCATTTAGATATGGGGCAGTTTATTAGGAAGATTCTGGCTCATTATTAACTCCTTTTATTTCACATAAAACTCATTCTAGGGGGTTTGTTCTAGATGCTTGTCTAGTTTTATGAACTGGCATGTTCATAAAGGACACAATATTAGGGACCCATCCAGATCCACAAGATTTTTTTTTTCCTCTGGAGAATAATATTCCATTGACACAAAATCAGGATAGTTAATGGCCTACAGAAGGTCAGGTGGTGTTAAGGAGCTCAAAAATTGGAGGCACAGAAAAAATGCCTAGAGGGGACTTTTCCCAAAAAATAAAACCTAAGAACTTATCTGCTTTATGCTATAAAAAAGAAGTTCTGAGTAAAAGGGCAAAAATATGCTAGAGGTGCTGGTCATTTGTAGTACAAGTGGATGCTGAAGGTTCATATTCGGTCAACTGTTTATGATGAGTATAATATAAAGGCTCTCCTTCCTTTCTTATATCATTCAACGACATTTACTAAGCACTTACAGAATTAATGTATTCAGTAGTCCATTCAATAAAGCTACATTATAAGCGATTATTATATGCCAGGCCACTTTGGGGCTCCAAACATGATTTCTATGTGGTCCTTGCCCTCACAGAGTCTTCAATCTGATGTACAATTTAT